TACTCCTCCTAGTTCTTTCCAGTTGAACACATCGTGTCCCGAACCGCAGGTTTCAGAAGTAGGGCTCAATGATCTCACAGTTAGACTAGTACCTGAGGATTTGTGCGAGAAACTGCAAATGTACCTGTAGACAAGTAAGACAGATAAAGTTGCTAGATGCTTTTATTTCTGAACAGAAGGGTGGTTGTTAATGATACAGAGGATAAAGTTCTTTGAAGTTGGCCAATCTTGAATTGCCTCCTACACTAAGCTTGCATTCAAAATCGTGATGGCAGTTCTGAATATGTATATGGCCTACGCAATGACTTGCGATAACCGACCTTTGTACAACTCAGTACTTCTATCTTTTTAGAGCCTGGTACCGATCATCCGTCACCGGAGAAATGGTCGATTTGCTTGACTCGCCTCAAAGACTTCGACTCTACGAAAGCAGAATGAACATGCAGTCAGCGTCATTTAACGCGTTGTGGAAGGACGACGCTTGGAATTACGCTTACAAGCAGGTACAGAGGGGAGTCCGGAGTTCCAGTATCGCCGAAGTACGAAGATCAGACGCCGTTTTTTATGCCAAGAAACCGAAGATCAGGTCAGCCGGACACATTATGCCATAGAGTGATCGCAGCTGGATAGGGCGGTTCCCGAAAGAATCCTCCGGGAGGCCAAACAGACGCTAAGATGGCCGTCCGCGCGATGGTCAGACTTCTTCACGATTGTTCTGAACGAGAAGAGTGCTATGTCTCGTGCATCTGAAGCAAGGGCGATCCACTGGATCACTACGACTCGCGACAGGGACGAATAGAGACGTTACTGGTGTCCGTACGAGGAAATCGATAATCAACGGGACGACAGGTGATAGAGTTGATAATGGCTTTCCGTAACAGCGCGAAAATAAATCGAAGATCTGTGAATCAACAATTTCTTTCTGTTATGACGCAAACTTTTCAGGAATCATTACAATCTTTCAAAATCGCCTAGATTCGAACTACCTGAAGCGAAGTAAAAACATCTCATTTGATATTATATCAAAAAGTTCCATCTAGATGTAAGCCACTTTAAGTGACTCCGCCTTCACATTCTATGCACTATTTAATGGCTCCGTTGGTAAGTGCCATGTAACATACGGCCGAACATAAAAGAAGTCCTTCCATAGCTGTGAGTGGAAGCAATCGACATCAGTTAGCATGCTCAGTAATACTATTTGTCTCTACGTGAACTTATTTCTGGTCATCGTGAACATCCTTCAAATTCTTGCCAATTTTGTCGTGCTGATCGCTTGGTGTACATCAAAAAGGCTGCTCCGTAACGATAACTTGATCCTTCTCGTCTCACTCGCCTTCATCGACTTTATCTATGCTGTTCTACAGATTCCCTATTTGACGGTTCTCATCGCTGGAACTAAACCGAATGGTATGTCCGCCTTAGAAACTTCTATTCTTGGCCTAGGACTCATGCCCTTACATTTTATGGCGTTCCGTGAATGATCACGCTCTTCTATTACTCCTTGCTGCTGAATTTTGCAATAAATTCGTAAAGGATCTCGTTTATTGGCAAGTGGGAGTGCCAGTCCTCCATGGAGACAGAATATGTCATCAAAGGCAAACCTGAAGTTTTAAAGAAACTGGCTCTCTTGGTAAGGGTGCTCCATAACTTAATTGTATCCATACACGTAGATGCCAAAGAAATTTCATAATTTCTCGTGAGCATTGGAAATTTAAAGGGCTCAGTTGAATCCCATTCATCAATGAAAGCCCTAGCCCACTTACCTGACAAGCCGCAGGTCCGAATGACTCATATTCTGCCCCAATGGACGTGTACGGTACCAAATTACCTGGTCAGTAGTAATAATTCAATTCAGTAATCCTGGTGCCAAAACATAGAGTTGTGCTGGCCCCGCCTCCATCCACTTTATAGAGGTTGCTTCATGGAACATATTAAATCCGTAAAAAATAATTGATATCTACAGGTGTTCCACCAGACTACAATCCATGGTTGATTGTTCTACTGGGTGGACCATCAGCAGCTTTGTTGAAATCAGGATGGGCTATTACAAATGCAATAGCTATTGATCGAGTAGTGGCGATACGTTTTCCGGTACAATACTATAAACGGTCTAAACGAAAGTGAGTTCGAAGTTTCATTTCCGATACATTACCCTTTGAAAATTTTTAGTGCCTGTAACTGGAGCTAGTTGTGATTTCCAACAACTTTCCTGCAAGTGCGAGAGTCCAAAGTCGATAAGTTTATTTGATTTGAGGGGTAATGACCATGCTTTGCACTAGCCTTAAATAGAAGCCCATTCTGGCTATACAGAATGCAGGCAGCACGGAACGACTGTATCAACCAACCCTACCTACTAATCATGCTTTCTCCAAGGGAATTCGCATCAGCTCCGACGCTCTTGCTCGTCGACGAGCTTGTTCTTTTCGTGCTGAATGTGATCCTCCAGCGGTTTGCTCGGACCACCGCTGGTATGTAGAGCTGTCGTAAGACATCGCCTCCCATAGTCGACTCAATGAATGAAAACAGATCATTTCCACAATATACCCATGAAAAAACCTAGGTGCTTTCGTAGTTGTACAGTCTCTGACTTTTTTCCTGCTGGAGCCTATGAAAATCCTGGTTATCACATGAGTTGCTCCTGCCGCTTGAGATGTAGCGCACGTATACAATTGAGAAATATTCGTTATAATTGTTAATAATGAGCGTTTGTAACTACGATTTATCGAAGAATTGAATTTCTGTGTAACGAGAGTACTATCGAGCCCTTTTGCCAGTAGTGACAACGAAGTGGCTGTGAGGACATACATAAGGTTGCAGGGGAAAAGTTATGGGGCTGAAAACCTTCTAGGACTTCGAGAACATTCTGCTTGGAATGTTCGAAAAAATTTGTCTTGCCAAGCTCCAATGTCGTCAAGTATGGCAGAGGATCTCGCCTACTATACCAATGTCAGCAGCTTTGTGAACACCCAGTTGTAAAGTAGTATGACCAGCATCATTGGGTGACGATTTCTAGAAGTTGCAGTTTCAGCTGGTCAATTGGAGCATTCGCCTTCGCGATAGTACTAGCCTTTATTGATTGGATTATTCTACAGCGTACGGTAACTATCCGGAGACTACCGTACTGCACTTCATTTGGCTGTTTCACAAATGATGTACGGTAACTTCATAACACTTAAATCATGGACGAATGACATTTCTTCTCAAGGTTTTCCGCGCTTATTCGGGACTTTCGAATATGGTGCTAACATTTCTTTTGTGTATGCTGATTATGGTGATATTATACTATCTCTGCAAGGGCTCAAAGACTACGTCCTTATCAGCGGAAATCGAAATGCAGAATAGGCATAGGATTGATAAAAACGTAAGTTTTCTTCCTAAATTTTTTCTTATACTTCTTTTACCTCATTTCGGAATAGCCATTCCTTGTATTCTCGAAGAATTCTAATATTTCGAGTTACTTTATCTGCGCAGTTGTGCGATCACTACGTGTCTCGATGCATAACAGACGAATAAAATTTATTTGTCGCTCACTTGCTGCACTTCAACATTGGTTCCAGTTGAAGGATAAATTTTGGCATAAATCGTTCTCATTTCTGGGATGTGCCTCGCACTTCATTTTCAATGTGAACCGTGGTGGCGGTTTGAATATATATACGGCTATACATTGACTTGCGGTTGCCAGCCCATGCGCAGTCAGTGCTTTAAAGGGGGCGTTCACGATGAAAAGGTTATTGAGTTCTCACCTTATTAATACTCAGCGGTCCCCGTTCCTAAGCCTACGCCCGTTCCTGTTCCTGCTCACGATGGACGTCATCACAGAAGAACTCATGGATGGACCACTGAAGACCATCCTCTACGCTGATGACATCGCTCTGATAGCGGAGAGCAAGGATGAACTCCAGGATAAACTCCAGAATTGGCAGAGGGTATTGGCGGAGAGTGGACTCCGGCTGAACGTGAAGAAGACCAAGTTCCTCAGCTCCGAGGAGGGCACGGAGTCAATCGTCGACGGTTGCGGGGAAGCCATCGAAAACATCCAGGACTTCCGCTATCTGGGAAGTGATCTAGCCGCTGATGGTAGCGTGGACCAGGCCGTAAAATCTCGAATAAATGCGGCATGGATGAAATGGAGAGAGTCCACCGGTATCCTCTGCGATCGTCGGTGCTCCAGGACCCTGAAAGGGAAGGTGTATCGGACAGTGGTAAGGCCCACAATGCTCTACGGCAGCGAGTGTTGGCCCGTGACTAAATCCCACGAAGGACAGCTCCACTCCGCTGAAATGAGAATGCTCAGATGGGCCTGCGGCTGGACTCGGCTGGATCGGGTCAGAAATGAAGACGTCAGGACGGCTATGCAAACAGCTCCAATTCAACTGAAGATGAGAGAGCAGCGCCTGCGATGGTTCGGGCATGTACTAAGAAGACCACAGAGCCATCCAGTAAGGGAAGCAATGGAATTCGAGGCTCAAGGCAAGCGACCACGAGGAGCCCCAAAGAAGAGATGGCGGGACGTGATCAAGAAGGACCTCGCCGAAGCCAAGGTGACGGCAGAAGATGCCTTAGATAGAATGAAATGGAGACGGCTGACAAGAACAGCGGACCCTGCGACGGCGCGGGATTAACGCTAGGGAGAAGAAGAAGAAGAAGAAGACCCACACATATACACATACATACACACATACACACATACACACACATACACATACATACACACACATACACACACATACCCACACATACACACATACACACACATACACATA